AGTGAATCATTACAACCCCGAACTGAGAGGAATAGAGACCCTGTTAATGAGGTTGACGTTTTGTGCCTGGCGAACAGCACATATGCTAGTTAGCAGTATTCTCAAGCCGATGAAGACTTTTGTTGATGTTCCTGATGTTTTTAACAGATTTTCGAGGATAGAGAATGTTTTCTTCATATGTAGTGTATGATGTCAGTATCAGTTGAACTGATATGTCATCAAAATGAATTAAAATATTGGTTTGCGAAAATGAGTCATAATTAAAGAAACCACAATGAATAACCTCGAGTTAAGATATCACCAGTCAATTATATGCTGCCTTCACTCCTAATAAGCCAGGGAAACTGCAAGTGGTGTTTGACTGCACAGCTCGATACAAAAGGACATCGCTCAATGACCAACCACTAAGTGGTCCAGACTTGACTAACAGCCTGTTTGGTGTCCTCTTAAGATTTCGTCAGGAACCAGTATCTCTCTCCTCAGACATCAAAGCCATGTTCCATCCACTAATGGTTGATCCAAACGATGTTGATACCTTAAGGTTCCTTTGGTGGCCTGACGATGACTTATCTAAGAACCCTGTTGAGTACATCTTTTGGTAGCACGTCTTCACCAAGTTGGGACAATTTTGGTCCAAAGGAAAGACGGCTCAAGACAATGCAGGAGACTTTGACAATTAAGTGATCGACACAGTATTGAAAAACTTTTATGTGGATGACTGTTTGAAATCAGTGCAATCAAATGAGGTTGGCAGTAAATTGAGAGAAGATTTGTGTGTTCTATTGTCAAGAGGCGGATTTCGATTGACTAAATGGTTGTGTAACAGGAGGGAAGTCCTCAAAACCATTCCAACCTCGGACAGAGCTTCGTCAATTTTGGATTTGGATCTAAATTCTGGTGTTCTTCCTATTGAAATAACCCTTGGTGTTCAGTGTAACATGGATAGCGACATGTTTACCTTCAAGACGGTACCAAGGGGTATGTCCTTCACACGAAGAGGGATTCTATCAGTGACTAGCTACATTTATTATCCACTTGACATAGTATCACCAATCACCTTACTAGCTAAAAAGTTCCTTTAAGATCTCTGCAAACAAGGACTCACCTCGGATGAAGATATAGTGGGAGAGAAATCTCAGTTTTGGAGACGATGGCTATCAAATTTACTTATGCTTTCAAGTGTTGCCTTACCAATATGTTTGAAAGCGATCGACTTTGACCGAGTACAAAATGCAGAGCTTCACCACTTTGCAGATGCCCCTCATATACAAAACTCGTCAATGAAAATAGCCGTACCCACTGCAGTTTCTTCGCTTGGAAATCTCGCGTAGCTCACGTGAAACAGATGACTATACCCAGATTGGAATTGTCAGCCGCTCTTTTAGCTGTCAGAATGAATCAGACGTTACAAGAGGAATTTCAGACAAAAGTTGACAAGACAGTGATTTGGTCAGACTCCACAGCAGTCCTCCAATAAATCAAGAGCAAAGAGGCAAACGATTCTACATGTTTGTGACCAATTACCTGGAAGTGATAAATGATGGCTCAGAACCCTCCCAGTAGAACTTCGTGCCAACAAGCAACAACCCAGCTGAAGATGCCGGCCGAAAACAAACGGTAAAGGAGTTATTAAAGAGGGAAGTCTGGTTCAGAGGCCCTAAGGTTTTTACACCCAGCAGTCAGAAGTCAAGCTCGAACAGACCATGTTACTCTCATGGAGGATAAAAGACCACTAGACCTAATGGTTCTGCAATATTCGTCACGGTTTGAGCTTAAGAAGAGAGTTTCTTGGCGTCTGAGATTTAAGAAAAATTCCTTAAGAGCAAAAGTTGCTTAGAAGAGGACCCTGTTGATCCATTACCTTGTGGAAGGCTGTCCTTAGACGAATTACGACGTGCAGAGGCTCAAATCGTCACATACGTGCAAAAACTAGCTTTCTCGCCCGTGGTTAAAGCCCTCCCAGACTTGAGCCTAGGAGAATACCAGTAGAAGATAGAAGTTTTCCTACATCAGATGAACATCAAGAGGAAGTTTAATTTCCCTGAAGCATCACACATGGGAGGAGTCTGGGAACGCATGATTCGTTCAGTGAGAAAGATCTTACGAGCCCTTTTTTTAAAAAGCAACAATTGGTTCTGGAGACGCACGGCCAACATTGATGGCAGAAGTTGAGGGAATTCTCAATGGTCGACCATTGACTCTCAACAATAGCATTCAGTCCCATTGATTCACAATCTTTGACTAATAACCATTTGTTACTTCGATCGCATTTAAATTTGCCGCCAGGAGTCTTCATTAAGAATGATTTGTACTGCCATCGTCGCTGGAAGCTGGTTCATTTGAATTTGTGCACCAGATGTGCGTGAACTTTGAACACGAGTGGACTAACTTAAGGGACTCTTAGGTTATTCATTATTTGAATTCTAATCGCCCAATATTTAAAGTAAACCTAAGGGGCTGGGATGTAGCAACTAGAATTTGAATTTCTGTCTATTTTCAAGTAACTGCGGAAATATTTTATATTGTTTTTCTTTCAATTGAACTACTATTGTGATGTTCTGATCGATTCAATTAAGCCCGCGCTTTTGCATGAGGTTGTGGAAGAATTACGTAGTGCCGGTAGCGCTTTATTTCTCGCCAGTACAAGCTTTGTTTTCGTTACATACTTCTCATTAGTAGTTGATTTCAGATAAGTCAGTCGTTTCGTTAGTTTTTGCTAGAGCCGTGTTACTTTTGTTTGAGAGTTTTATTTCCAGACCTGGTTACGCCACAAAGTGTAAGTTCGTTTCTTTTTTATGTAGTTCTGTCGATAGTCTTGTTGTTATATGTGTACTTAGATAATTGTATTAATTATTTATTTTCCTTTGTATCAACTCAGTATCATACATTACAATACCCAAAAACAAAAGAAAGTAAAATTTGAACCAAGGATAAAATTGAGCCACAACATACACAACTACACATCTACACGTCTTTACATCTACATATTCCTCCGTCGGGCGAACAGATAAGCTGTACGTTCGTTTTGTGGCGAACCTGGCGCTGCCAAACCTTTCCCATTTTACTTGGAAATGTATTTTTTCCGATATTTTCGATATTTGCATCTTAAAATTAAATAAAATTTATTATTTATACATATATGATATTAACATATTAACACTTGACACATTGTCACTTGACCTTTTATTTCAAACTTGGCCCTGAACCTCCGTGAAAAGAATTACTTTAGCTAACGTATTATTATTATCATGTGATTTGAGGTTGGTATGATGATGACATAAAATTTAAAATTTCTTGTCGATCATTTTAAGTCGTATTTTGTTTTTTCCCAGTTCAAACAGTTTCAAGTACAGTTGCCACCTCATCCCAAACAACTCCCGCAGGTAAATGTTCTTTTATAGGCATTTTCTTTTTTTTATTACATGTAAAACTATGTAATCATAGTAGCATGTTCTTTAGTGTTACAAAATGAGTTTGAGTAAAAGACAAAGAGTGAATTAGGTCACTGAGTGCCTGGAACTTAGCGAAGGACTGTAGACTCACAAACAGTCACAACAATGTTCAAGCTGAATTATTGTTAGATGGAACCACTTCTCGGCAGTTTTTGTGAACCAAGGCTCTTCATGTTTTTCGTAAATGTAAAAGGACACGGCTTTTCTTCAGCTTCAGAAAGCACAGAAGTTTACCTGACAGCGACCATACAGGGGAACTGTAGCAGACGTTCAGAAGTTGCTGCGAAATTTCCAGAAATGGTAAGATAATCTACTTGATCCGTCTACCGGAGTGTATAGAATACTGCCATGATATTTATCATTAAAAGGGAATCTTAATCAATCTATTGTTGACCGAAATCTCAATATTTCTGTTAAAACAAAATGACATTTTGAACGATCTTCAATTACGAAACAAGTATTCAAATTTACATTTTTTCTTTAAATGTGCTTTTAGGCTTGTCAAATTGCCTTTAAGTTTGGCTGCTCATCCGCCAACACCGTGAACACCAGGTAAGGTGCAGTTTGTCTCAACACTGAAAAAACAAACGCTAACGCAAATCTGTGTTCTGGGGCGGAGAGGAGCTTTATCTCAGTTTGGCGTATTTTAGTGTTAAAATTGGTGTTTCTGCTCTAAAAAATCTCAGTTAATGCAAAATAATCTACATTTGAAGTACATTTTATTTAATGTACAGCAACAGATTGACACAGAATGACGTGAATTAATTTTATTTACCTTGGTTTATTAGATCAAAAATACTCTTTTGGTTAAATCTCAATGTATTTTAACACTTGAAAGTCACCAAAGTACAAATAGAATGCCGAATAGAGAACCGTGCCGTAAAGAGCACAATGCATAAATTATGACTGATTATGCAATTGAAGCCGTGTGGTTACTCAATTTTTGTCACGCAAGGTGCGCCTTCGTCGAATTGCTCTCGCTGTAAACTCTGTCCTTTCGGTAACATACTTTGTTTGGCGCTGGATTCTTTCTAATCTTTAGGCTACTCATTTATAATAAATCAAAACAGATCATAAGACGCCCATATCCCCAAGTGTAACGTTTGCGTAACTTAAGTACTGCGGTTCTCCTAATTCATAACCTGTTTAACTATTTCTCAAGTAACGTTATTTAAATTAAGGTAGCGACAATTTTTTTCAGAGCAAAGACAGCAACAAGGTCCTATAATGAAAATGTTATTTATTGTAACAAAAGGCTTTGTATTATAATCGTAATAAGCTTTCAAGGGAGAGGTAAACAAATATTAGGAATAGGAAATGTAGTTATATTCTCCAAAGGTGACAAATGTTTGAATAGGTGAAGATGTAAAAGCGGATGAAGAAACTACTTGCAAACCTAAATGAACTCTTCCCACGATTTCTTTTTGTTTAATACAGACTGTATAATCAGTCATAACTTATGCGTCTTACTCTTTTCGGCACGGTGTTCGATTCGGCATTTTACATCCTTCCCCCTTACCTAGGTGTGGCAGTGTTGTTCTCGACTTCATGATGAGGTTCAATCGAAGTGTAGTCGTCAGCAATGTTTTGACTGTCCTGTTGGATGCTGCAAGGCAAGAGAAATTCGGAGGTTTCAAAGTCGATCCAGAATCAATTAAACAAGTTTTTATAACCACAGACGGCTCGGAAAGCACAACAAAAGGTAAATTTTACAAAGAAATATTATTGTTAAATGTTTACGCGTATTCGTCCGAAGATGGACTTTTTCTAGTTGTATTCAGTATCTGTTTAATTAAAAAACTCAGTTCTGCGAGTCATATATTTCCAAGTTTTTTTTTGTCGCTGTTTTTGTTTTATTCAATTAAACAAAATCTTACTTTTTAAAATTATTATAGAGAAAGTAGCACCTCAGTACCCAGCCAATTAGAGTTGACGGTTTTCGTTCATGAGCGTAAGCTATGTATTGAGAGCAGTGTACTGACCACGATCACTGTAAATGTGGTTTGATTGTTACCTGATCAAGCTTTGTATAATGATTCGTTTTAGGTCCTGAGGAATGTACCTGCCCATCTAACAACGTCTCGTTAGCCATAAATGGGGTTCTTGCCTTCATAATCGTTCTTCTAATTATTTACATAATCTGGCTACATAAGAAAGGTAGGTAAAAAAATTCATAATCTATGATAGAGGGTTTGGCTGCAAGATTCTTTATTAAGCAAAAGAAAATCTTGACCCACATCCACATCATTTGTCTTTTTTTTTTCCTTTCGTTCTTTTTCAGGCGCTGTAGGGAAACAGAGGTAAGAATTTGCTGCCACTTGGATTGCGTCGATGTAATGAACCATATATAGGAATCATGTTATAACAAACTTCCACTTAAAACTGATGAGATTCTCAGCTCGCCATAAATATTTGTATGCTTTCTCAATTGTAGGACTTATGAAGATGAAAGAGGTGTTTCCTATGTAAGTTACAACTAAGACATTGAGGTCATGTTAATGTTGCCAGTAATTATGTGGTCTCATATTACCTCTACTCCTTAGAAGAAAATTAACGCTTACAACAGATAGGAAGGAAAAAAGGTGTAGTTATACAAAAAAAGGCATAATGCATTAATGACAGGTACAAAAGAATATGGGTAGAAGTTTGACTCGATAGGGTATTTGTCCTGGGATCATGTCCTTTACCAAGCTGCTCCATGGATTTTCCTTCGATCATCCCTGGTTCAACTGCGTGGCTTCACTTCATAGATCGCTAACTGGTCTGCACCCGGTTGATATTTGTTTTGTAAATAATTTTTTTTCCGCGCAGTTTTGGCTGTCTGTTTATCTTGATGCCTTGTTTTCAAAACGTTAGTCCAGGATCTGAATACAGAAAGAGTTTTTTTTCGTGTGTGTATTTGTAAAAAAATTGCACTACCAATCGACGATCTTCATGTTGCAGTTTGTAGCTTCAGCGAGTATGCTGTGAACCTCGATCACTCCATTGGACATGATAGTTTCAATGGCAGCGAACAGAGTGTTAGTAATAAGAAAAATAAGTAATAATAAGGACAAGATATTATAAACTATTAATAATCTCTTGTTATGTAAGAATATAAACGTTTTTCTGATGAAAACGGGTAAACTGATTTTTGTAAACATGCGGGACTTTTTATTGGGATTTATAACAGATTTTTACATGAATACCTTAATGATATGTTGGTTTAATAGAATGAAACAGGATTAGAAGATACCGAGCCAAGTCTGAGCGATTCAACAAAACTCGCTCAGCCTCCTGCGGAATACATGGATCTAATAGAAGTCAACAAAGATAATAGAAAAGCACAAAGTAGTGCTTCAGGTGCTGATTACGTGCCTCTTCATCCGTTAACACGCTCCTGGGAAGTTCCAAGACATCACGTGACCATAGAAAAAATCATTGGTAAAGGTGCTTTTGGTCAGGTTGCCAAGGGAACAGCCTTAGGACTTCGAGGGAGTCCTGAAACGACCACAGTGGCTATTAAGATGCTTAAAAGTGAGCTCTTGTACTGTAAATAGAATGATAGTCTTGACCCCCACAGTCATTCAGGAAATGTTTCCGCGTTACAGTAATTTTTTTTAGCTATTTGCCATTTCATAACTTGTGTTGTTATTTTGGCATTTCGCATATTATACCTGTTAACCAAATTTTACTCCTTGTTTTTAACGTTCCAGCAAACGCTACTGAATCGGACAAGAGAGATTTGATGAAAGAACTTGACACAATGAAGCAGCTGAAACCACATCCTTACGTCATTAAACTTCTGGGATGTGTCACAGAATCTGGTATACTTTGGTTATAGGGTCTAATTTTGCTGTACACATTTTGCATCAGATTTACTTTGTAACGCTTTCTCGTCATTGATAATTTGCTTCAAGGGAAGAGTTACTGCTTCACAATTGTGCACAACAAACAACCTTCGCATGAGGTAATTTTATCTTTTTTAAGCCGGCATAGACGCTCTTGGATTTGCTGATAGATTAAGACTGAATATTTGCCACTATACAGGCCAGTCTGTTGTATAAGCAGAATCGCTTTTTCTAAGGGAATATTTGGTCTGTACCTTCTTACGAGACCGTTTATTTTTCAGCTTTTCTTCGTAAAACTACATCTTATTTTCGTGCGATTTCTTCAAAAGCGTTGACCATGACTGGGCTATTGATTTGTTTTATTTATTGCTAATTTTCTTTTAGAGGGAGAAATATGTTAATGAAACTGTTTAATTTGTTCAGATCAGCTGCTGGTTTTGATTGAATATGTGCCTTTTGGGGATCTGCTGGGTTACCTGAGAAAGAGCCGTGGATTAAGAGACACTTACTTCAAAGACCCGGATATCAAACCACAGACAAATCTGACGTCACAGCAGCTGATGAAGTTTGCTTGGCAAATTGCTGATGGAATGAGTTACTTGTCCTCAAAATCTGTAAGTTAATTGAAAAAAACATAAAATAAAAACAATTCTAAAACCTTCTTGAAAGGTGCACCGTCATCTTAAGCTCTGTCTTGCATAGAATATTATGTCTTTACAAGATCACACCCAGGAGATACAAACGTATTGTTACCTTCTTGTTGAGGCTACTTCTCTAGGGCTTGGAACCCTTTCAATTTTGACGTCATCACCTAAGTTTTATTTCAATGTGCGAATGCCGATATTTGTGCATTGTTGCAAGTGCACCCCATAGAAATAAAATACGTGGAGTTTTCTACTGCGGGCAAAGGCAGTCGTGAATGAATAGGATCTCTTATTCAGCCTAAACTGAGTGTACAACGAATATCCATTTTAGTGACAAGAAAGAAAAGGAATTAAAACTTAAAATTTCAAAAATTCGTCTTTGGTTGCTAAACTACTACATTTCAGAATCCTATTTCGAATAAAATCTTAAGATATGCTTTCTATAAAATAACTACGTATTGTAGAAATAAAGTAGTTTGCTTCTCTTTGGAATATGGAGCAGTAATTATTATAATTACAGCTCCATATTCCAAAAATATGGAGCATATTCCATATTTAGCAACAGAACATGGTGTGTGTATTCCTCTTTCTTCCAGATAGTAATTCTAATTTTCTGCCATGTGGAAGAAAGAGAAATACACACACCATATTCTGTCGCTAGATATATCCATTTTCCTATCTGAATCATTTCATTTCAGTTCTTTTTCTTCCGGAATCGCTAATTTTTGCTCTCGCATCAATGCTTTCTAGATCATTCACCGAGACCTTGCAGCCCGTAATGTTTTGGTTGGACAAATGGAATCTTGTAAAGTGACAGACTTCGGAATGGCCAGAGATGTGCAGCAGGAAAATATTTATGAACGAAAGACTAAGGTAATCAAGAAAGAGGGGAGGTGGGGGCGGTACTACATATCGTTCAGTTTAGTGATCTTTCACGATCATTGTTGTGGTAGAGCTGATATACTCCTGATTTCGATGACAGAATCCTTGGATGGGACCGTAATGAAAATATTAGCCTTGCATATACGGGTATAATTTTAAATATCACTGTCTTTGACCAGTCGCTCCCTATAATTTTAAAGCTGTTTCACAAAGTGATATTTGAAATCTTTAGGGCCGTCTTCCCGTGAAGTGGACAGCTTATGAGGCCTTGATGTATAGTAAATATACCACCAAAAGTGACGTGTAAGTATACCCGATTATTACCCGTAGCAATTTTCCAACAAGTTTTATTAATAAAATAAGAGAGATGGTAAGTTTTGAGCTCGATAAAGAAATAGAGAAAGATGTTTTTCATCTTCTCACGAGCATTGGACGATGAAAAACATTCTAGAGTCCTCATGAGGAATCGAACCTCAGATCTTCGGATTCCGCGCTCCGATGCACTACCACTGAGTCACAGAGACTCTACGATGAGCGAGGTCTATTATGAAGTTCCTATGACACGCTTCCTGCATACTGCTAGGATCAGCGATGTCAATAGAGTCATTTTTGTAAAATAGAATAAGAGAGAGAATCGGAGCGCGGAATCCGAAGGTCTGAGGTTCGAATCCTCGCGGGGACTCAGAATTTTTTCTTTACCATACGCTCGTGACAAAACGAAAATTATCTTTCTCTAAGTGTTATCAGTTTTAATCAGGAGATGAATTCTATGCTTGTCAAATAACGCATATATTTTAGTTGTCGTATATAATGTTAATGTCTCCCGTTACCTAATTTATATTTGTTTGATTTGTCTTTCTTCAGGTGGAGTTATGGAATTTTGCTGTACGAGATTTTTACCATAGGTAACATCGAATGGAAGTTTATGAGGCCTTGTGGATGGCTTTTGCTATATACCACGTTTAATTAAACAATGTATCGTGTTCAGTTAGAGAAACGTAATGAGCTTCAAAGTTCATCAAGTGACACAGGTGATGTTTCAGTGAAGGTCGTTTGTTCGTCCCATTTATATTCCGATGGTCTTATGGTTCTTCCAGGTGGTTCACCTTACCCACGAATGGATGGAAGAAAAATAGCAAACTTACTTCAGGATGGATACAGGATGCCTAAACCACAACACGTCGATGAAGAATTGTAAGTGCTTTTCAATTCGTTCTCTCTCACCCTACAAGGAAACGTTCGTTAAATCTCTGACAGATCATTTAAACAATACCAGGTATCAGATTATGATGAAATGCTGGAAGAATGACCCAGATGCAAGACCAACTTTTACTGAATTGAAAAATCAGCTTAAGGACATGGAGACCCTACACAAGGTGAGAATTTTGATCAACATGAAAGTTTCTTTTCACGTTAGACCGACTGGCTTAGGCTCAGCTAATTAGGATTTTAAACCTAACAGCGTTTAGCCTAGATAGCGTAATTTTTACGAAGTTTGGATTGCATCTTCTTGTTATGTCACTGAAGCAGGCACTCCACGAAAAACAGGGAAGAAGCGAACCTGAATGTCCCAATGACAATTTAAAGATCATAGGGTGATTGCAAAACCGCATTGAGACGCACAAAGAGTAGCAGACGACGACGCCTTAAATTACTTTCTTGAATTTGTTTTGGTGTGAAAAGCTGACCACTTGTGAGGATAAACGCTTATAACGTCAGAGGAACACTTTTTTAATGATGCTGATTATAATATTATTCTTTTCTGCAGAAGCTGATCAACATGACTATGTACGACAAGCAGTTGTATGCAAATGTCGAGGATTTAATAGTGTAGTTAGATACACTTCCGTGATGTATGACTGGCTAACAGTTTGAACACTTTGCCACAACAAGTTTCATGGATGAATGATCTTTTCCTTACACACGTACTTGGTAGAAATATCCATGTTGTGTTAAGCAGTTAGGCTGCAACGCTGTAACTCAATTGATTTTATACTCTTAAACGCTGTAAGGCTTTTATCAGTTTACCGATAAAGTATAATCACATTTTCTCTTTAACATGTTTAGCACTTACACGCATGCTCGACACAAGCGTTGGAGTTCAGTTTATTTTCTGACTCAATTCTGAAAGGCAGGACAGTGCGGAAAATATCCAATTAACTAGATTGATGAGATCTCGTTCTGTGTGCCGTAGTTGTCTACAGTTTAAGTAAATTGCTAAAAAATTGTTTTGCCGCAAAACCCGCTTGGTTTTAGGAAAGCTATCCGGCGCATAAACTACTTTCCCTAAGACCGCATTTACCTGCGATACCAACTCAAATTACTTTTACACTGAAAGTATTATTAATTAAAAATTACGTTATCCTAATAAAAATTATAATTTGCACATTACTTGTGCAATCGTCGTAGCTTTGAAAAATGAATTTTCTGAAATTCTATTTAAAATTTTGAAGATTTTTGCCTAGAGGGAAATGGCTTTTTCCTAACATTTCTGTGGGAAACGAAATGTTGAACTTTGTCAAGTATAGAAGACCAAAAGAAACTAAATTTTAAGATCTGAAGTTTTTGGTAAAGCAGAAATGGTGTTTGCAAGGAAAAAAATGAGAAAATTTCTTAAGAGGAATGGATGACTTTTTTCCGAATCCGTCTTTGTAAACGACATTACGAGAACAGCCCTGATGCAAAGATTGTGTCATTGGTGAGCTAAGTTGTTGTGTGGCCTTTCGTCAATAAACACTTTTTCTAAAACATTTGTTGTAATTATAGCGTATAGCAACAAGATGAAACTCTGTACCATGTGTAAGACCCGAGTACTTCTCGATCTCTTTGTGAATCTTATCGGTGTTTATCACCTTGCAGGTAAACAACTGTATCTACTAGGATTTGCCGTCACAATCAGGAGCATGTCGCGAAAGTGTGATGATATTTTAACACCTACCATTTAAATGCACAGGCTTTCCCCCTGGAGATGTTTATTAATTCATTAGTGTTCTTTCGAGTACCCTGGAGAGGATAAAAAAAACATATATTAATGAGAACGGGTGCTGACCATACAATTTTAAAACAGTCAACAAAAATTCAAAAGTAGTGCTCTGGTATTTATGGGTAGTTATCGTCAAATAAACTGCGCTTTGTCACAAAAGAGGAAATAAATGGATTGGTAACGGGACTTACAGTGTAAATTGCTATTACCTGCGTCCAAAGTATTGTATTGGATAATACCATATATTGTTTCACGTACATTTCCTGATAAATGCAAAGCGTAATAATAAATGATGCGATGATAGCAGCTGAGTGAAAAAAACGGGGGAGGGGTGGGTCGGGTCGCGTACTGTTTTGCTGCCACTATCGCGCAGTTCATTTATTTCGTTCTGTTTTACTACCTGAACGCCTGGAACCGGCTAATGACTCCAAGTCCCTGCATTTTTTAATTCAGTGGTCTTGCTCAAGAAATGGACGTAAGCCGTAATCAAACAATCTTTGTCTTTCGTACAATTACTTTGTATACTTATTATAATATGTGCACTATATTTAACAGTTGTTCCATGAGCCCGCACCTGATATGGACTGGCTATACCAATCTCGTATCCAACAAGTCAGAAACAGGAACCAATGGAATAATTGACCGCACGACTTGACCACTGAGCTTGTACAGATGAAATGTTACCTCTAAATTCCTGTCGGTTCATTCTGACAATTGAATTAAAAAAATTGACCCCATCAGAAAACCTGAGTAGCCAAAGAAAGTAAAAGGGAGACGTTGAATTCCACGTGTTTAAAAAATATGTGGATCAAGAATTTCATCAAACCCTAAACCAAACCCAGAGGCTTCACGAAGCAGAAAAAATTGTTAAGTTAATATGTAGTTCAGATTGACGCTCGAATAAAATATGATTTGCTTAAAGCTTCTTAATAGACACTCTGGTCTTTTTGCTTTATCGTTATGTAAATGAAATGGGTGTATTGAAGAAAACATTCAAGGAAAGATGACACCCGAGCCATGGGGTAAAAAATGCGGGGTAGAAAAGTTAATTGCTTTTAATAAAGCAAAACGGGACCCAGCTACGCCAATTGTTTCATAGGTTTTACCAAACACCAATTTTTCAGTCAATACAACGGCCCCAAACCTGAAATCTACGGTCGCTACATCGACAACTGTATCAGCGCCACCTCCTCCACCAGAGACGAGCTGACTCAATTAATAACCGTTATCAATTTATTTCGCCTGGCTTTGAAATATACCTGGGAAATTTTCGACACTTCTTTGGCTTTTCTAGACATTAAAATTTCAGTTAAAGTCAGAAACAAGAGCGAATAGAATTATTGAGCTATTAGATTTTTTCACCTTTTGGTAATCCGTTTTAACGCTCATTTTTTCTTCAAATTAAAGCCACCTGAAGTCAATATCATTTCTGATCGTCAAAACGGCAAAACTTGAGTCATACAAGCAACGGTTAAGTTAGGTCCGAAGCTAATGAAAATTCAACGCAAGTAGTTTATTCAGCTGTACACAAAATACATTAATCTACGATCGAAGAAACGTTTAAGGGTACGACATACAATACTTACTACACAAGCATTCAGGTGTCTTTGAGTTCCAACTTATGGGCAAGCGAAACATTTTGTGAACAAGTTGATTTAGTGTTTTGTTTAACTGGGACAGAGTAAAGCTTGTGATCGAGGATAGCTTTCGTTTCAATATCCTGACCTCAATTTCACGATTGGAGTGTACGAATTAAAAGTTATATTCCTACTGAGACAAACATTTGGTTAGATCAGTAAAACTTTATACCCTAATGTTCAAATGTTTTGCTGCGTGGTACCACAGCATTCAAAGAAGGATTGTTGCTGAAATGTCGAGAAATGCATTCTGATGTTGGGAGGCCATTGATGATCAGCTTCTGCCCCCGCAAGAAATCGATAAAGAAGTCAAACAAAAATATCATTTTATTGATATTGGATGGATTGGATGAGTAACCATCCAGTAAATTATCGATTTTTTCCGAATTAATTGAAGAAAGACTACTCCCCAGATGCCAAATAGTTGCAACAGGAAGACAAGAAGCTGGGAAAGAGGTGAGCAAATGCTGTGACACGCTTCTTCAGATCGGAGGATTCACTGAAGACCATTGGGAGGATTTGTCACCAAGTACTTTAAAAAAAGGCACGATTTAGCTCAACTGTACTTGGATATGGTTGAATGTGTCTTGAGAAAATGTAAAAAAATAAGGGACTATTAGAAACGGAAGAAGAACTGACAGATCTTTACAAACCGCAATTGAATCGCTTCGGGTTAGTAGCGTTGAATGGTTTACTCAACGACAAATTGGATTTGAATGAAAGTGAATTGGGAAACCATGCAAAAGACTTGACTGAATTTGGATTTCTTGCATAAAAGTTTTCAAGAATTCTTTGCAGCATTCTTCGAACAAGTCTCCGATCCAAGGTATTTTGTTAAACTTGAAGAGGTACTTTTGTTTTCGTGCGGAATTTTAGCCATGAAATGCGGTAAACAAGTCGTGGCTCTTGTACAGAGTTTGACAAATGAAGTCAACGGAAATGAAGGCAGTGGTTTAAAAGTTGTATTGGAGGCCATTAACGAATGTGAAGGACAAAAGAGTGATTTTCAATCACGGTTAGCAAATTCTTTTGGAACTTGTTTGAATCTGACCGATTTGAATTTGTATAACAGTGGAATGAGTGAAGCCAGCGTTACGTCTATTGCTGAGGCAATCAAAGTCAACAAGACGCTAACCAATTTAAATTTGTGTAGCAGTGGTATCAACAAGACGCTAACCAATTTGGATTTGTCTGACAATGGTATGAGTGAAGCCGGCGCTACATCTATTGCTGAGGCAATCAAAGTCAACAAGACGCTAACCAATTTGAATTTTTGTAGCAATGATATAAGTGATGCTGGAACTACATCTACTGCTGAGGCAATCAAAGTCGACTAGATGCTAACCAATTTGAATTTGTAGAGGTGATCACATGATTTCGAGTTCAATTTGGAATAAATAAGCACGAGTAAATTTTTTCAAAGACAAACAAATTTGAGTTATATGAATAGTTTTAGAGACCAGACACTTTATTTATCACCGGGGGAGGGACGATTCGTCTTCGGTTTTTTTTTTGAGGGGGATGGGGGATGGGGATGGGATTTACATGGCTTTCAATGAACGGAGGCTGATCAGTTGTCGCTAACAGGGTTTTAAGGGGGACAATAGAAAACTGACCGCCGATTGACTGTCAATGAGGAATCATAAGTATATTATGGGGGAAGCAGGTAAATTAAGTCGTGACACAACCAAAATCCTCCAACCCCCATAGGCGATAAAAAATGACCGGCGCCTTACAACATGAAGCTAGTCTTTCTGAGTGTTTGACTCAGGGTTCAATTCAGATTTTATCTTCACTATTTGAGCTTGCACAGATAAATTGCAAGTTATAGGAATAAGGTCAATAATTCTTTAGTAGAGCTTTATGAAGTATTTATTTTGAAAACTTTATGCTTTTCCTTTGTAGGCGTCAGCTTAAAAATATATTTGAGAGCATTAATTTAAAATCAGTCTCGGAGTTCCTTTCTTTAATCCCCGCAGGACCATCCGACTCTCTGTCCATGTGTTGATTGCGTACAATATTCTGATCAGGTCCATCTAGGTCAGTCCTTCTCGCCTAGCTAGTCTTTGGACGGGTTGATGATGGAGACGTCAAAGGAACAGACCTAAAGGCTTGGTTTACAGTTTAACTTTGCTGATCAGACTCCAACAATTAGTAATCAGAAGGAGGGAGGTTTTGATTGGGATTAAGTGGCAACTACGAGCGTCGAAGTTGAGAGTTTCTGGCCGTGTTTTTTAAGGGGGGGGAGGGGGGGAGGATTCCGGTCTTTCAAAATTTTGAAAACACAAGAAGACGAACGCATCACTCGTCAGTAGTTTTGGCAATAAAATGCTATTTGAAATCTGCAGTGCGTGTCTCGTCAACATGCGTGACCTGTAGCAAGAGGTGGTATGAAGTGAATCACGCGTCACTCGTCTCCAGCTTTGGGGGAAAAAATGTTGCTTATTGTTCATGTGAACCTTAAAAGAATGCCGTTGCAATTTTTTGAACGATGTTTCTTCCTGAGGCCGAGAAACGCATTGCAAAGTTAGTTTTATTGCGTGATGGTGTTACTCGATTTTAGGTGTTATATTTCATTTCAGAATGGTCTTATCTGCGCATGTTATAAACAACTCCCTTCTCTGAGTCTGTTAAAATACCTAACTTTTATGACTTTCTTCGTTCTCTCGACGGAAGATCAGGAAAAAAGGAAACGAATCGGTTTAAACTCACATTGCTGTTCATGACAAGAGTTGACGCGAAGAAAGAGCAGGTACAGACAAAATAGTAAAGTTATTCACTCCGTAACTTTAACTTAAACTTCAATAACCCGTTGTTGACTTATGGTATTTCACTCGCGTAAATGCGTATGATTACGAAAGTTTTAACACAAGCCTTTGGAAATAAGCGTATGGTGAAGATATACTTGATACATAAGCTACTTTTTTTCCCTTTTCAGGTCGATTGCGTACCCTCTTCACGTACCCCGGGTGTAATTATTTCGTTTAAAGCACCATTCTGAGATGTAAGTAGATTCATGAATTATGAATTGATGCGCACTAAAAAGTCACTTTATTTGAATTCCATACTTTAGTAAGGGTCTGTTTTGGACTCAGACCAGCTGTTTTACTTCCAGCAGTCGTTTCTGATCTAGATTAAAGGGACAGGG